CACTTATTTGTGTGTCCTACAATAAGAAAAATTGAAAATAATAAATTTATTAAAAAAATTAGACGTTAGATTATAAATAAATTAAAACGTTTGTACAATATAAATAAAGTACTCATGAAATCGAATAATAATAAATGAACCACACATTAAATTAAATAAATTAATCGAATAATAAATGAACAACACAATAAATCGAATAATAAATGAACAACACATGAATGCATTACCTCTTTATCTTCAAAAATGATGGCACAAAAATTCTTTGTCTCCAATTCGTAATTGGTTTCAACAATATGAGTAGTTCTTAATTTCAAAAAAGGTCTGTTCGCTCTTGTAACCGCAAGAAGCGTATCAAACACTGGTGTCATTTTGTTTTTTTCTGTTTCTTAACGACATGTTGCTATGTTTTTGCAGAATTATTTTAGCAAAATTATTTCAGAAGAGAAGTGGAAGTGAAGAAACATTTATAAAGGAATGATGGTTTTATATAGGATTCTACAAAATTGTTATTAATCCATTTTTTATGCGATTTGGAGTATTATTTGAATGTATGAAATCCCTTCCAAAAAAATTGCGAGATAAATCAATGTGTAAAAAAAAAAAATCAACAAAATCCGATCATTAAAAAAGGAAAACAAACGGATTTTATGGGGTTAAAACAAATAAGTTATCACCAATTGAAAACTAAAAAATCTCATCCTAAAATGAAGGAGTTAAATTAGGTGAAAAAAAAAAAAACAAATGATCTATTACTATAAAATAGGAATTGTAGGCGGCATTACGAAAATTCAAAAAAAAATTACCAGAAACGAAAAAGAAAAGGGAAAAAGAAGCGGGAAAATGTTGGATTTTTTTTAGAGTTTTTCAAACATTTTACCTTAGCCTTATTTTATAGTAATAGATTTTAGTTAATACAACCTTTTTAATCAATCAAAAAAATACTTTTTTTTTTCGCAATTGAGAAAAGTAACAATAATGCTTGAGAATTCAATTGGATCTTATCTTGTGAATGATTTAATAATTTCAGAAAAATCCATAAGGACCAGCTTTTACTAGTTGTGTTGAATTAATATTTTTAGTTATATTGAAAGAGTAGGAACTATTATGCAAGTTAGAATTAGGTTTTTAATTGTTATTTTGTTTACATTATAATTCAACTATTATGAGTTAATTATGAATTTTTATTTTGTTTCAAAACAATATTCTAAAAATATGAATTGGTGAATTTAGAAGTTAGCATATATAGTTATTTTATATTTTTTTATCATTTCATAATAGCTTACCGCTATTAGAAAATTTTAAATCTATATATTCCTGTCTGAATTAATATATTATTTAAATGATAAATATATAAATAAAAAAATTATACTAAAGAAGAATTATTTTAATTATATTTAAATTTCATCTCATTTTCTCTACTTTACGAGGTGCCATGCACAACCGGCCCACTATATTAATGTGTTATTGATTTTCTTAATCTATCATATATGTTTGCAAAGACAGAATGATTAGGTTATGTACAACAGTAAAAATTGGTCAAAAAGTAAGAATTTTAGTTTGAGGTATGAGTCGCTAGAGTGTTTTAAGTCATGAATGCCGTTGGAATTAAAAATTGACAAAAGAAGGCATTTCTATTCCCATGTAAAAGAGTGTTTTAAAGAGCAAATATGTGCCCACCGCGTAAGTGGCATGCACTCATTAGTGATGTATTTTGTAAAAGGCCTAATTGCTTATAAATGCATGACCTTTTCGAAAATTGCAATTTTATGCACCACTTTTAAACTTGGCAAAAATATGCACCACTTTCATTATTGTTTGCAAATTTATGA